GGAGATAGGATATCTCCATTAATTTTATTTTATTTTATGAACCCCAGAACATGCACTTGTATTAGCTCTGCCTTCAGAACTGGTTGCAATTCAAGCTGTTGCTTCTGCCCCCGGTGGCCTTATGGGGCTGGCAGCTGCATTTAAGAACAGAGGGGTTCTCTTTACCATAGAGCGTCCATCACCGTGGGTTGAACACAGTAATAAAGATTCCATGGTGCTAAGGTGACCAGATGTCCCGATTTTATAGGGACAGTCCCGATTTTGAGGTCTTTATTACCTATTACCCCCCATCCCATCCCGATGTTTCACATTTGCGGTCTGGTCACCCTACATGGTGCAGTCCCTGGAACCAGCCCCAGGGGAGCCCTGACTTTGGAGCTCCCCTTGTTGGTGTGGCAGGTATCAGGGGTTGTCGGGGTTAATTACAGGCTGCACTGTTCTTCAGCCAACTGCTCTACCTTTCTTCTTTGTTTGCTCTGACTCTGGATAATTTAGCCTGTTGTAGGGATTTGCCGCAGCTCTGCTTAGTGCTGCCCTCTAGGGGCAGCTTTGAGCACCTTGCTCGATGCACTTTGTTGCTGCAAAGAGTAGAACCGGGCAAAAATCGTTGACAGTTTTGGGGGGGTGAAAAAAATACAGATTTGGTGACCTCTAAAGACTCATTTGTGAGGATTGGGGGAAAAAACAACCTAAAAAACTCCCACCGCTCCTCCAAATTCCATTTGCAAGAAGACATGCTTTGATTTTTCGAGTTGAAATGACTTTTGGTGTCTAATTTTCCTTTCATTTGATTTTAAAATAATAAAAAGGCTCAAAATCTAACTGAATTTTTTCCCATTCACCAAAAAAAATTGGGAGGAAAAAATCTTTTTCATTTCCACCCTGAATCTGCGGTGGCAGTCAATGTTCAATTTTTCATAATTGCCAGAGACCTGAAAAAACTATTATAACATCACAGAATCATGGAAGGGACCTCAGAAGGTCATCTAGTCCAGTCCCCTGTACTCAAGGCAGGACTAAGTAATAACTAGACCATTCCTGACAGAGGTTTGTCTAACCTGTTCTTAAAAACCTGTAACGACAGAGATTCCACAACCTCCCCTAGTTAATTTGTTCCGGTGCTTAACCACCCTGACAGTTATGAAGTTTTTCTTAATGTTCAACTTAAACCTTCCTTGCTGCAATTTAAGCCCATTGCTTCTTGTCCCATTCTCAGAGGATAAAGAGAACAATTTTTCACTCTCCTTCTTGTAACAACCTTTTATATCCTTGAAAACGGTTATCTTGTCTACCTCAGTCTTCTCTTCTCCAGACTAAATAAACCCATTTTTTTTCACTCTCTCCTTGTAGGCCATGTTTTCTAGACCTTTAATCGTTTTTGCTGCTGTCCTCTGGACTTCCTCCAATTTGTCCACCTCTTTTACGAAATGTGATTCCCCCACCTCTAGTAAAGGTAACCTAGCTGTCCCAGAGAGAGGTTCTTTAGCGGTCCTTCTGCCCTGTTGTGTCCGCCATCCACCACAACATCCCATGCCCTTCTGTCCAGCACCCTCTCAATCACAGCACTGCTACCGCCACCCCGCTACCTCAGCACAGTATCATCTCTCTCGCCCCATACGGCATCCCTTTGAACCTTCCCCAGAGCACGGCATCACCCCAGCGTCATGTCATGTCCCCGCCTACACATTCCTCAGCACAGCATCATGTCCCACAGCACATCCCCCATGCACCCCAGTACCTTCCCCAGCCCAGCCCCTTGCCCCTGCATTCTCCACTAAGAGCAGTCTATCACCATGCCCCCATGAGGCCTTAGGCATGTATGTAGAAGAGGAGGCATAGCTGGGGGACTGGCCATTGAAGTCTTTGCAGAGACACTGCCCTACATCCTTCGGGGAGCTGCACAATCCGACCGTGCTCAGTGGAAGAAGAAGGGGACTCGCACATTTCTATTTGTTATCAATCTAGTGTGAAATCGGTGATGGGCCAGATTCTCCATCATTGACACCAGTGCCAAGTGTAAAATGCAAGGCTATAAAACGCACGAGGCCAACTAGAATAGCAGCCCTTCGCATTGGTATAAATGACTGCACGAGACAGCAGAGAACCAAGGTCCAATGCCTTTCTATGGGATGTTTTTAGCTGACGGATTACAAAGTAATTAGATTCTTTGGTGTTTGCAACCTGCTTCTGCATGTCCTGTTCTAGAAACAGGTCAGCTCTCCAGTCATTACCGTTAGGTAACGAGTCAACCAACCATGATACGTGGTAGGAAACAGAGGCATGCTCAAAACATAGGCAACGAAGATGGCAGCTAAACATTGGTGTTGACCCTTGGGATCTTTGGTGTTTTCCTTAAAGCTCCTGCTCCTGGAGTCATGTTGTTATGCAAGAACCTCAGCTTTCATAAAACAAAAAAAGCTTCTAGTCTTCGTGGTTGCAGAGAAAAACTTGAAATTATGACCTGAGAGCACCCTATAGGCTCAGAAACTAGAAGGCAACATGAACCCAAAATGGGATTGTTTTTCCCCCCGTTTGTTAGTTTTTGGTTTTCTTAATCTCATGGTTTTTAAGTCAGTCTCATGATTTCTGAACAGTTTGGGGATTGGCCATATTGGTTACATCTCTTTTCTGGAACTATCTATTTTGATTCTAGCTGAGGGCCAGTCCCTGGCAAAGCTCTGCAGTTTTACTGTAGGTTGGGTTGTGCTTATGTAAAAGGAGGGGATGTGGTACTGCAGCAAGCTGTGTTTGTGTTGTAAACAGTTCCACAATGTGCGTCATTTTACTCCATCCGTAATACAATTAAAAGTAGGCCACTTTTAAAGATACAGCCAGCTCTCCCTGGGCAATGTCATCACTTTCAACCACTCCATGGTGCTATCATTTTTAAAGTTAAAAAAAAATTGTTGCTAAAGTCACTTAAAAAGGACCCAGTAATTTTTTATAGAAAGCATATAGAAATAAGTGTTCTCCTATGCAGTAGAAACCATCGTAACCATTGCATAAACAAGCCACTTTATTATTTAACGGAACTCATATTTCTTTTTAAAATGGCAGGAAAATCATGGATTTTCTCCATGCTTTTCTCCATGCTATATTTTTCTTCCCTGGAGTGGTCAGCGGGAGCAAACAATCTAACTCGTTTGAACACAGAGCTTGATACGTTTATGAATGGAGTTATGTGATGGGGTGACCGGAGGCTGGATTATATCATTATATGGAATAATGATATAAATGATTATATGCGATAACAGGAGATTGGACTCGATGATCCCTTCAGGCCTATTTAATGAGGGAGAGATGCTTGTTTCAGACACTGACGGGTCAGCTATTGCAGGTCCTAAACTTACAAGTGCTGCTGGATCTGAATGCAAAGAACCCACCCTCCTCCTCAGCTCAAAGGCTGTAGCTGACTCTAACCGCTCGAGGGCACAGACAGCCTCGCTGAGCAGGGATGGGTTACACTGGCACAGACATGGAGGATAAAATAGCACGTTATATTAATGCAGCCATGCCGCCACGAGTTCTGCGCAGATGCAGCCGGGCAGGAGTGAGAATAAAACCCAAGCTGTCTGTTATCATCAGGGAAGCGAAAGCAGAGCTGGAAAAAGAGGCCTGACCTTTTCCTTCCTCGAGCTGACACGTTTTCAGCTCCCAGGGCTGTTGACCTGAAGGTCCCGCCCCACCAGTGGTCATTAGCAGAGAAGATGACTGGAAATTCCTCTGTGCTTCAGTGGGCCCTTGGTGGATGACAGGGTCAAGAACCCCACCCCACCCCTGCATCAGCCTGCGTTATGCAAGTCAGGCTGGGGATCAAAATGGACCCTTCTTCTGGTCTATCAATCTATGGATTCTGGGCTGGGGGAGATTAGACCTTAGATCTCTCAGACCCTAGTCCTTACTGCGGTAGCCCTATAGTTTGCGGGACTAAGTCAAGCCCATTAGCATCTTTATCATTCAACAGCTGAAGGGAGGGCATTATGCAAGTGCACGAGGGAACCAGGCAGCCCTTGCCGATCGGGGCAGCCAGTAAATATGTGACCAACATCTTCTTATTGGTCACAGTAGCAAAGGCGGGAGTCACGAAGGGTGTGATGCAGCCACGTTCCCAACGTAGACCCTGTAAGGACCCTGCTTCAGCAGGGGAAACCAAACCTGCAACCAGCAGGCCAACTCTTTTAGATCCCAGCCAGCATGGACTTTCAAGCTGCAGCCAAGCATAAGAGCCACTGCAGGTTCCTAGCTGTAATTGCTATAGATAGTGTGTGTGAGAGAACAGGGATGAGTAAACGGTATTCTAAGTTAGTTTGCCACCCCAGTTCATCACTCCTGCGCCGGGAACTTCCTTTCCTTCCCGCTCCCGCCATGTATCACATCTACCATCTGCAGAAGTTTTCTGGGTTCCCTCACCATCTTTTCTCAAGATCTGTTTGTATTTTCATGATCCCGCCAAACTTACTGACTGTGAGCTAGGAACTTTTTTTCAAATTTGTCTATTCGTGGGTCATTGGGCTACTCTGAATGGATCATGCAAGCCTTGGAGAAAATCAATTTTCGCAGAAACAGTAGTCCTAGAAAAAAATCCTTTCCAAAGCTTTCGCGCTACCAGCTGTGGACAGTCTGACATAAACCAGAGGCGGGTAAAAGACCGTCCTAAAGTTTCCATCTCACAAGGATAGGTGTAAAGATCAAGGGGTTACAACAAAGCTTTAGTGTGATGCAAGAAAACAATCTAAAGCGCTGGCCCAAAAATACTACCCAACGTATTCCTCTTCAACCAAATCTGTTGGGGTAGCAAAATAATTCAATCATTCTCCCCTACCACCCTCCGTTCTTATGTTCAATTTAGAAGACCTGATTCTGATCTCACTTCCACCATTCAGGTGCCAGCATAATGTTGGCGTTACGCCCGATTAACACCAGCGAGGCTGGAATGAGGCTCAGCCCCTGTGTAACGCTTTCCACGGGCGCTTAGTAATATAGTAAATCAGGCAACTGTATTCAAAGAAGAAACTTCCACTGAGACTATTCCTTTAAGAGAATGAGCGATGTAACACTACATAATGGATGCTGAGAAAGCAATTTACAAAGCAAATGAATCAAAGTACATTCATTTTATAATTCGGGCCTCCACATTCAGCCCTCTGGATGATCATAATCAGTCAGATCAATAATTCTGGAAGGAATAAATGAATGCATTTTGAAAGAAAGGAGATCTATGTTTGGAGTGAGTTTCATTGCAGGCGTTAGCATTTACAGTAAACATTCAAGTACTGTTCGGGTGAGTAAGTGCTACCATAACACCTAGCCGTGCACGCTGCAGGACAGTCAGTAAACTTGGAAACTCCTGATCGTAGACTAGTCAGATTTGCTTCCCATAAGCATAAAAGATTCCACCCATCGAGAAACCCATGTGCTTTTTAAAAACATAGGCCCTGATCTTGAAAATCTAACCTTTGGGGACTCTCTTCTTGAATTCGATGGGAACTGAGTTTTGGCTGAGTAAGAAAAGCAGAATGAAGCCCTGATTCAGCAAGGTATTTAAGCACCTGATTGAATGATAAGCTCCAGGGTTTTTGCCGCCCCAAGCAAAAAAAAAAAAAAGAAGCCCCGCCCCCAAAAGAGGGCCGGAACGCCGCCCCTTGAGAAGTGCCGCCCCAAGCACATGCTTGGAACGCTGGTGCCTAGAGCCGGCCCTGCCCGTGAGAGTCAACAGGTGAGATTCTGAGTTGTGCCTCTAAGAGGCACAGCACAGAGGAGGTTGGCGCCTTTCTGACCCCGGGCTGCACCGGGGACTACAGTGGCCCTTGCTGTAATTTAGAAACCCCCGTGGGCCAGTCAAAGTTACAGCAGCCTCCCGGGGCTGACCTATGGGCCACGGCCCTGCCTGGAATCGCTGCACCCTCTGACGCAGCCTTCCCAGCTCTGGCATGGCCTCTACCGCAGAGACGTACGGAGGGTTCCTCAGAGGACAGCCTTATGGCGCTGCTGGTGGAATCCATCCCAACTGGATCGGTGGCTTGTAGAGCCCCTCTACTCCAGCTGAACGGGAGGGAGAGTTCTGCCCCAGACTAGGATGAAGAACTGGATGACCCCTCGAGACCCCTTCCAGCCGTCCAACTTTATGATTCCCTTATGCCCAGAACTAGATGTATTTAAAGTTACGTGCCTAAGTGCTTTGCTGAACGCGGACCTCAGACTGTAGGGTTACCATATCTCATAAATAAAAAAAGAGGACCCTCCACGGGCCTTGGCCCCGCCCATTTCCCCACCCCTAGCCCCGCCCCAACTCCGCCCCTTTCCCCACTTCCCCTCCCGGGCTTCGGCGGCGCAGGGTCTCCAGGCACGGGGCTGCCCGAAGCCGGTAGCGTTCAGGCAGCCGGGCTCTTAAACAGAGCGGCCATTTTCCCGGACATGTTCCGCTTTTTGGCAATTCCCCCCGGACGGGGGTTTGACTGCCGAAAAGCCGGACATGTCCGGGAAAAAGAGGACGTATGGTAACCCTACCTCAGATGAACACTGATTTCTAAAAGGGATTCGATAGCTGATCTGATTGTGATACTCTGCCAAGCGGAACAACAAAGAGAAACCCCCCTGACTATGATACAGCTAGACAATGTGACAGTCGTCTGACAGCTCTTGTTTTCAGATGACGTATTAATTAGTTTTGCCTCTTTCCGCCCAAGAAGCGAGCACCGTGAGATTGCCATTTTCTCCAAATCGTGCATGGTTAGAACCTATTCGCTGAAGAGCTGGTGTGAATAAATCTTGGGCTGACGTTCGCACAGGAGCGCGTCACTGCAGCATCCAAGCTATTCTGATTGGCCTCTGAGGTCGCAACTAATGTTTCTGTCCCATTATGGGACGAGGGTGACTCTTCGGAGCGGGCTTATGTCGTGAATACTCACCATTATGAATCATCTGCAATATTCCCTGTTCCCATGCGCAGCGTGAGTTAACATAGGCCCCGATTCAGCAAAGCACTCAGGCACAGCAGGTGAACAAGTAAGAAAGAAGCATTGTCTAATGGACAGAACACAGGACTGGGCCATAGGTCTGGCCGTCCCTTCCAATCTGGGGGGGAAAGAAAGGTACTTTGGAGTGGGGGGGGAAGGAGACACCCAAAGCCCCTGACATGGAGCAGGAAGAATGGGGAACCCTGGCATAGGGGGAGGGCAAAAGGGGGGTACACAGAGCCCCAGGCATAGAGGAGAGGAGGAAATGGGGGTACACAGAGCCCCAGGCATAGAGGAGAGGAGGAAATGGGGGTACACAGAGCCCCAGGCATAGAGGAGAGGAGGAAATGGGGGTACACAGAGCCCCAGGCATAGGGGAGAGGAGGAAATGGGGGTACACAGAGCCCCAGGCATAGGGGAGAGGAGGAAATGGGGGTACACAGCCCCAGGCATAGGGGAGAGGAGGAAATGGGGGTACACAGAGCCCCAGGCATAGGGGGTTTAATGGAAGACCCTGGTCTGGAGGGGGAAGGGGCTATGTGGATACACAAAACTCCTAGCATGAGGGAGGTGGGGGTTCCAGAGACTCCCTAAAACAGAGAGGGTTGGGAGGGGGTACTCAGGGAGCTTGTGGGGGAGGAATGGAGAGATGCAAGGAGCCCGGGTGTGCGCACGGAGCTCGGCCGACAGAAGCAATAATGCCTGCATGACCCTCCTGTCTAGACAGTCTGCAAGCTCTTTGGGACAGGGACACACTTTCAGCACAATGGAGCCCCAATCTTAGTCAGCGCCACTTAGGGGCTACCATAACACACAGGATTAATTTACATAATCAGCAGAGCTTTTCATTTTAAGCAAGTTCCATTAACTTCAGCGGGACTTAGAATCATAGAATATCAGGGTTGGAAGGGACCTCAGGAGGTCATCTAGTCCAACCCCCTGCTCAAAGCAGGACCAACACCAACTCAATCAAGAACGTGCTTAAGGCCCAGATTTTTAAAGGTATTTAGAGGCGTCGCTGTGCTCAGCCGTGCAATGCCGAACTGATTTAGAAGCTTAAGTATCATTGCCAAAAGGGATTTAGACACTTAGAAACCTCAATCCCGCCGACTGTCCACCCTAAATTAGGCACTGCACGGCTGAGCACAGACGGTCCAGGCCTTAGGCGCCAGAATGTGTGCAAAATTGCAAAAACTAGAATGAGCGTGTACTGAAAAGCCAGTTTGCAGTTGGTCCAGATCTGCTGAAGATATTCCCATTACACTGGCCCGCCATGGACTGTCGCTAGATGGACCTGTGACAACTATTAAAATACACGCGAAATCACTGCAGAAACTTAACTAAGAACCCGACCAACCCAAGAGCCAGCTAGGGAAGAACAGTAAACCGACGGTGGCCCAGAAAGACCAGAAAAATGAATCTTGTACATTCAGAGTTTATATTTTTAAAAGAAAATCAGATGGAAAAATCTATCCCGCTCAATGGCTGTGCGGTAGCAATCTCTCTACCACGAAGAGAACAGAACACACGCACGCACACACAGAGAGAGGCTTAATAACACTGAATTGTCATCAATTGCATTGGCCACCTCAGCTTGCTGGTCTGAAGAGAATAAACGCCCACCGAAGCACACCAAAGATCATTGAAAATGTCTGAATGGCTTTAATGTGAATCCAGTTACTTGAATGAAAAAAGTACCAGAGGAGAGCGGTGGGTTTTTTCCCCCCCTTTCTCCGTTTTTAAGAGTATTTTCTCCCCGTGTCTGTACATCTTGGCTCATCCCTGAGTCATCTTCACGGTCTCCTCCCCCGCCGCCAAAGTCAAGGGCCCTAAATGGAAAAACTAAGCATAGAGAGACAGCCTCATTGGCAAGAGAAGGTAACATCTGCTGTCGGATGCTGAATCATTCCTGCCCATAGGAAAACCACAGGGGCAGGGGGTGGATTTCTGCCAGGGGCGACTTGTGGGAGGGGCACAAAGGGTCAAGTGACCCTCGCCAGGGTGAAGTGCCCCCAGCAGCCAGCCTGGGCGGGGAGAGGAGGGGGGGCAGAGATGGAAGGGAAGGGGCGGAGCCAGAACCTCTCCTGGGACACTGCCCGGTGCAATGAAGCAGCTGCCTGGGATAGCACCGGGCTGCCGTAGGCTGCCCCCAACCCAGGTTCAGCTTCTTGGGACAGTGGCCGAGCGAGCTGGAGCCGCCCACCCTCCCCGTAGGCTCAGAGTTGGCTCCTGTCTCCAGAAGCTGAGCCTGAACAGATCAGGTCTCAGAGAGAACCCCCAAGCTAGCTCTGTGTCTGACACACGCGCACGCTCACACCCATCCAGCTGGCATGCATGTGGACACGTGCCGAGGAGCACCGCGGCTCAGTTAACGCAGATCACGCCATCGTTTTACCTCCTCTCCTGGGATTTAGAGATTTTCTGTATTCATGCTGAGAGCTTTCCATACAGTCGTCTTAGGCATTTCGTCTGAGATGTTTATCTCTGAAGGATCGTCCCTGCAACAAATATTATAGGTGTTGATTGGCTCCGGTCCAGCAAAGCACTTAAGCACGTGCTTATCTTTAAGCAGGTGAAGAGTCTGAAGTCAACGAGACTGCCCATGTGGGTAAAGTGAACCTGGGGCTTAATGCCTTGCCTGATCATTGACCTTAGGAACCAACCCACACAAGTGCTGAGCATCTACTGGGTGCACTGGGAGTTGCAAGCTCCTAAACCATTCGTGGTGATAAAAACACTTCTGCACATCATTCTAAATGGGCTGGTGTCACTGAGAAAGCTTCTGTGCAAAAACGTGCGGTCCCACCCACTGTTTGCTCACAGTTTCGTTGCCCATTTAGCTAACTTGGGAGTCCTCAACACAAAGGGGCAAATGGATTGCTTCTTCGGACTGCGTTTGTCTGACAGTGCCAGTCTGAGAGCACCAGAGAGGGCTGGTCTTGACAGTGTTTGAAACAGCCTCTTCAAACTAGCACGAAGGAATGTCGGTTACACTCGGAAGAAGCCGAGTCTGGAGTTTTTAATCCCATATAATGAGTTTCCAGTAAGATTAAAAGCAACAGACCAGCATGCAGGTGGTGAAGTGACGGCAACATCCTTTAAAGCAGAGGACCATGTCTTGGCTGCTGATGCTGCTGGTGCTGTTCATAACACCTGGGCTGACAGAGCCCAGGGGAGTAGTAGGTAGGAGCCACAATAATGTTACCTAGCTCACACATCACGCTTTCCCTCTGCAGATCTCCCAGCACTTGACAAAAGGAGATAATCACCATTACCCCATTTCCCAGATGGGGAATGGAATCAGTTGACCCAAGGTCAACCAGCCGGCCACTGGCAGAGCCAGGCGTAGAATTCAGGGCTCCCACATCCCAGTTCAGTGCCCTAACCACGAGCAGCACTTCCTCACAAAACGTAAAGGTA